TGGGCAGCCCCGCCTCCGCCCGGCCCGCCGCGCCCCGCCGGCCCCTGTCGCTCGCCCGCCCCGGTCCTCGCCGGCCGGCCCAAACCTAGGCCCGGTGAGCCGCCCGCCTTTCCCTAGCACCTGAGGGCATCGAGTGTCGCCAGGCTGCTGAGCTGGAAGCGCCCCGCGGGCCCTCTTCTCCCTCGGCTCGGTGCCTAAGGTCCAGGCATTGTTTTCTTAGACCCCTCTGAGGGGAGGAGTCGTTAAAGGAAAAAAAAAAAAAAAAAAACGGTCACGCCTTTCCACATTTACCCAAGACTCGGGCAGTAGGGGCTGAGTAGGTCACATGGGTGGGAGGGCGGCCCTGTGGTAGGACCAGAGGCACAGCCGAGAACAGGGATAGCCAGGCCCCAAAAGATTGCCTTTAAAAGTCATCACACGCTCCACACACTAACCCCGCACTTGAGAGGACTCGAAAGTCCAGGTGCCCGGAAGCAAGGAACTTGTTCCCAGATCACATGGATATAAGGATACAGGACTAGAATTCTGGTCTCCGGTCCCCTATCCAATAGTTGCTTAGAGTGGGGTCCATAGGATGGACCCTGCCCAATCCGTGGATTACTCTAGGAAGTGGTTAGATACCACCAGCTGCTGTCAGAATGCCAGCATATCATCATCCTGGGAGCTGTGCACCCATTTTATAGCTGAGGGTAGAGGGCTCTGCAGTGAGGTGGTAAGAGACATTGTGGCAGAGAGCTCTGATTGGAACGAGGCAAATGTGCCCACACCTCTCTTAGCTGGTGGTGACCTTGGGCAAGATCACTTCACCTTTCTGTGTTTTTATTTGGAAAATAGGCACCATTAACAACACCCAGAACCAGAGGATAAGGATGAAGGGTGTGCCCCAGTAAATTGCATGCTGTGGGATGCTCTCACTAGGGCTAGGACTCTCTACCTCATCTTGCTGTCCCACACAGACTTCCCTGGAGCATTCCCAGGCTGCTAGGAAGTGATGTTAGAAATCAGGGAGGAAGGAGGTATCACAGTGGAAGAGTTCCTTGGGGTGATCTTCACACACTCTCAATTTTTATTTACTTAATTTTGGGAGGTACTAGAGATAGAATCAAAGGCCTCACACAGTGACATAGGGTAAATGCCTCAGCTGTTCCCTCACACTCTACCCTCCCAGTTAGGGTCTTCCTCTATTTCCAGGGCTGATCTCTAACTCCTGGGTGCTGGAACTGACAGGTGTGCACTGCCACACCCATCTGCCCTCCCCCCGTTTATTTTTATCTATTTTTTTATGCTGGGCTTTGGTTGTAGTTCAGGATAGTCTTGAACTTTCAGTTTCCCTGCCTTAGCCTCCCAGATAACACCATACCCACCTTTACCATCTCCATTTAAAGATGAAATGAAAACCCAAGGAGAAGGAACTTTACCGTGATTACACAGTTGGGTGGAGCAGGGTGTAAGACACAAGCTTCCAGATTACAACCCTGTTCTGCCAAAGCTGCCTGAAAAAGAGATGGCCAGATGGGACATTACTCCTGGTCCTTTTTTCCTTTTGCAGGTGTTAACTGTCTGGCCTACGATGAAGCCATTATGGCTCAGCAGGACCGAATTCAGCAAGAGGTAAGGGATGGAAGAAGGCCAGGGAGGCAGTGGCCAGGGACTGTGTGGTATGGGTGCAGAGTCAGGGCTTGAGGCCTGCTGTCTTTGGAAGCCCTCTCCTCTCTAGCCAAGCTAGGTACCTGATGCTTTTATGGAGGTTGCTGGGTAACTGGCTCAGCACTCCTTTTGTGTCAAGCATGGGTTCCTCCATCTCCCTGGCAGAGCGTGATGAATTTCTACCACTTCCAGATCGCTGTGCAGAATCCTCTGGTGTCAGAGCGGCTGGAGCTCTCAGTCCTGTACAAGGAATATGCTGAGGATGACAATATCTACCAACAGAAGATCAAGGTGGGAGCCTGGCCAGAGGGGCAGGAGAGTGCCTGCTTCTGACCTGCTTCTTGCCAGGCCTAGTCTCTGAGAGGGTTGGGTGCTGGGGGGACACTATCCTGAAGTGTACAGACTCTGGACTGAGACCTCCATTCACATCCAGATTGCCACTCAGCAGCTGTCTTCTTGGCAGGTCCTTCAGTGTCTCTGAGCCCTGGGTCCTCATCTGTAAAATAGGGACAGTGAAAGCATCTGCCTGTAGGGTGGCTGTGAGGTTGAGGTAGGTGACATCTCAGTGCCAAGCCAGGGGTTGACCTTGCTGGTATTGGGCCGGGCAGGTGGGTCACATAGAGATCTGTTCCAGAGTCTGCCTCCTGGATCTTTGTGAAGGGTAGGGCCTCTTTGGGGGCGGGGGGCCCTGCTGCATCACTCAAACTGAGGCAAGCTCCTTCACCAGCCACTCCCACAGCTGGGAGCAGTAGAGGTTCAAGTGTGACCCTGGTACCTGGTATGAAAACAGTATCCAGTAGATGCAGGCTGGGGAGTTAGAAAATGATAATTCTTCCATTTTCTCCAAAGATCAAAGATGCTTAGACCCTCTACCTGGAGGTGGGCCCCTGGGGTAGCCAGGCACGTACCCCAGTGAGTAAAGCTAGTAGAGAAGTTAACTGGGAGGGCACTACATCTCAGAAACAGCCAGACATGATAGGAAGTATCCCCTGTTGCAAAAGAAGCCAGAATTCATGAGCTCTCCTGACAGTGGTGCACATCTTTAATCACAGTGCTCAGGAGGTAGAGGCAGGAGGATCTCTGTGAGTTCAAGGCCAGCCTGGTCTACATAAAGAGCTCCAGGCCAGCTGGAGCTACAGGGAGACCCTGTCTCAAAACCAAATTTTAAAAAAATTAAAATGTAGTAGCATGTATGTAGTATTCAGCACCAAGGGAAAAACTGTTAAGGCTAAACAACCCACCTGCAAGCCAGATCCAGCTGTGTTTGGTCTGTGGTCTCTTCACACCCACTGTTCACGGGGTTTGGGAGCTCCCCAAGAGACCTGTAGGATGATGAAGGCCCAGACTTTGAGCTGGGCAGGTCTCTGCATTCCAGCTGTGTGACCTTGGGCAGGCCTGGATCTCTGACATGAGTTATCTGCCTATGGGGCAGGTTCAGGGAAGGTGCTGAACTCAGTGTTATTGCTGCCCAGCAGGGGCTTAGGAAGCAGTAAGTAGGCTGTTCCTTCCCCATGTGCCAGTTAGCAGAGTGGTGCCCTTTTTCCAGGGCCACCTATTATACTAGGCCACCTCATAAATCCAACAGGATGGTGTTCAGGCTCTTCCTATTATTGAGTCATTCAGCAAAATGTTTGAATGTATATAGAGAGGGCTGTCTGCAGCAGACTGCCTCAGCACCTACCCCCCCACACACACTGTGCCCTGTGTCTTCTCCCTGGGCAGAGAGAAAGGGTAGTGACAGCAGAGCACAGGCTGACCTGGGTGTGGACTTGGCTTCTATGCAGAGCTAAGGATGTGCAGGAATGGGCATGAGCATTCATAGGGTGCCTGGCAGATTATGTGCCCAGTGTGACTGTAGTGGCAGAGCACTTGGGCACTCTGCAGCCACTGTGTGCTGGTCATGTTATGTTTGCTGGCTCCAGGTGCTGCTTGAGGTACTGGAGATGGAGTAGGGACTGACACATTGTGGTCCTTTCACACAGGGACGAGTGAAAGACAAATGGAAGCCAGAAGGTTTGTGTGGTGTGTATCTGTAATCAGGACTTGAGAGGATGAGGCAGGAGGATCAAGATCAGCCTGTACTACATAGCAAAACCTTGTCTCAACCTCCCCCTTCCCCCAACAAAGTTTGGTTGTTAGAGGTGGTGAGTACTATGGAAAGAAAGGAAGGCGATAGGGAGTGGGAGGGTTGCGATTTTAAATAGGAGTGGTGGGCGAAGGCCTCCCTGAGAAGGTGGTATTTAATGAAAGAAAAGAAGGGAGCAAGTGACAGGGTGTCTGAGAGCAGTGTGGGAGGAGGAGGGCATCCAGGTGTGGGGGGGGGGCTTCCTGGAGGCCAGTTTGGCTTGGGAGTGTGTGAGCCTGTACAAGGGTGCAGTGAGGGAAAGGGCTGAGAGAGAGACCAGCTTGTAGGGTTCCTGTGGTCACTGTTGCTTCATGAGTGAGAATCAGCTCCAGAGGGTGGAGGTGGGAGCGGCAAGGGGGCTTTGACCGGAAAACCCACAGAAAGCACAGTGACAGGACTGCTTGGTGAGGAGTGGTTGCGTGCTAGGTGTGCTGAATGAAGAGCCCAAGGGATCTGCTGTTGGGTGCATGTGGTGGGGGAGAAATGAGCCACCCATGAGGTTGTGGTGACAGGTGACAAAGCCAGGCGAAGAGCAGTTTGGTGTGAGGTAGATGCCTAGCAATGGCAACTGTCTATGGGACAATGGGGAGGTGTCGGGGAGGTGGAGGATCAAAAGTGGAACTGTATCGGGGTGTGGCAGGCTGGAATCACAGCACTCAGGAGGCTGAGGCAGGAAGATTTATGCAAATTTGAGGCCAGCTGGAGCTGTACAGACCCAGTCTCAAAACCAAAAGGAAAGGAAAAAATGGATCTGAAGACTAGGAGGTGAAGACAACTCAGAACTGCTCACATAAAACTGCCAGCACTAAGCGAGTCCGTGGTTTGAGGTGGAAGTTTTCCTAGGCCTGAGCTGCTGTTGACTCCCTGGTACACGACATGCCTGTGTTCACTGGCAGGCAGGAAGCCCTGTGTCTGAGTGTGTTGACTGTCAGGTCCCTTGAGAAAGGGTACTATATGGTCTGGTGGCAGCCCTGCCCTTGAGAATGGAGAAAGATGAGAGGCAGCCTGAAAGCAAGCAGGTAAACAAGGAAAAGGTGGGACTGCCAGCCATGAGGGAAGTCCCCAGGACTGGGCCTAGTGGTGCTGTCTGAGCTGCCACTGCCAAGAGGCCTTGCAGGTATGCGGAGGGTTGATTTGACCCTGATACTGGACCTGGCTGGGACAAAAGCCTCCCATAGGAATTTGTTTTCATTGGAAGACCTGGGTGGCTGTTCATGTGCCCTAGGGATCTAAACCAGTAGGGGGATATCCTCGAAACTGAAGGAGGGCACAGGTTGGTGTGGGGTAGCTTAGTGGCAGCTGAGATCCCAGGGCCTTTGTACTGATGGGGATTGAGGTATTCTATGAAAGGACTGTCATCCCTGAGGGTTGCCTGAGGGTAGTCATCTGAGGCAGAGGCAGGCTGAGGAGTGGGGAGTGAGGAAGGAGTGTGTCCAGGTGGGTGATGGGGCCGCTTGCCAGGCAGCGCCAGGAGTCACTCTTGTCAGGACATGCAAGAGACAGAAGGAAGTGGAAAAGGCTCAAGGAGATGGTACCTGCTGTGAGCAGCATGGGCAGAAGCTGAAATGGACAAGGGAGCTGGTTTAGCCTCAGGACTGTGGGAAAGGAGCCAGGGAGCTGTGTGGCTAGAGCCTGGCTGGGCAGAGGAGCCTCAAGCAGCTGGTGGTGTGGCTTGCCCTGTGCCCCTGCCTCATCTTGCTTGGGTTGAAAAACCTTGAAAGTTGCCTTTACTATCCCAACATTTGGGAGGCAGAAACAGGCAGATTCTATGAGATCCAGGCCAACTTGGTTTACATGTTCCAGATCAGCTGGGGCTACAGGGAGACCCTGTCTCAACAACCACAAAAAAAGACCTGAAAAGCTGCTGCCCCCCTCCCCCAAGACAGGGTCTCCCTGTAGCCCCAGTTGACCTGGAACTCGCCATGTAGACCAGGCTTTTCTGGATCTCAGATCTGCCCAAGAGGTGGGATTAAAGGCATACACCACTATGTTGGCTAAGACCTAAAAAGCTGCATTGAGCAAGGATGGCTTTGGTCACCAAGCAAACAGCACTGTAGCCAGTAGCACCCACATGGCCAGCAGCTGGTGACAACTTCGGTGACCATGTAATACATAAGTACATGGCTTCCTGGAGCCTTGGGTGATTCGGTGGCCTCATTTCAGCTGCCAGGAGGTGGGAACACTGGAACTTGGTTGCCACCTGCTGTTAGGGATGTTTCTTGGGCTGGCTCTGGCCTGGCTTGTTTTTTTAAGGACTTGGTGGGGGCTGCCCCTCTGCAGGACCTCCACAAAAAGTATTCCTACATCCGGAAGACCAGGCCCGATGGCAATTGCTTCTATCGAGCGTTTGGCTTCTCCCACTTGGAAGCACTGCTGGATGACAGCAAGGAGCTGCAGCGGTGAGGATGGCAGGCACTGGGGGCTCTCATTGAATAAGCAGGCCAGCCGTAGGCCTTCAATTAGCTAGGCTGCTTGGGGCTTCCATTTGAGTTGGGTGGGTGGCCTTGGCTGGGCTGGCTGGGCCCCTGCTGTGCTGGCTGAGGAGCCCACACTGGCCTCCCATCCCCTCCCACCCACAGGTTCAAGGCTGTGTCTGCCAAGAGCAAAGAGGACCTGGTATCCCAGGGCTTCACTGAGTTCACAATTGAGGACTTCCACAACACGGTGAGTCCCCCTTCAGTGTCAGGCAGGGCCAGTGGGGAGGTCAGCTCACCAGGCTGTGCGGAGGTGGACCTTTCCTCCCTCATCTTCCCTTTTGTCTCTGGTGGGGCAGTTTATGGACCTGATCGAGCAGGTGGAAAAGCAGACCTCAGTAGCTGACCTACTGGCCTCCTTCAATGACCAGAGCACCTCAGACTACCTCGTGGTCTACCTGCGGCTGCTCACCTCTGGCTATCTGCAGCGGGAGAGCAAGTTCTTTGAGCACTTCATTGAGGGCGGCCGGACTGTCAAGGAGTTCTGCCAGCAGGTGCTGCCCCTTCCCTACCTCTGCTTTGGGACCTTCCTTTTCTCGTTGCAGGGTGGGGAGTGCTGGGGGAAGAGTGTGTGGCCAGGGGAGGGGTGCCAGGACAGGCCTGACCTGCCCCTGTGCCACAGGAGGTGGAACCCATGTGCAAGGAGAGTGACCACATCCACATCATTGCACTGGCCCAAGCTCTCAGCGTGTCCATCCAAGTGGAATACATGGACCGCGGTGAGGGCGGCACCACCAACCCACATGTCTTCCCTGAGGGCTCTGAGCCCAAGGTCTACCTTCTCTACCGGCCTGGACACTACGATATCCTCTACAAATAGGACCAGCTGGCCTGCTGCGCCTTGCCTGCCTCCCCTCTGCCAGGCGCCAGATATGTACAGAGGTTTTTTTTTTGTGGTTGTAAATGGTCGTATTTCACTCCTCCCTCTTCCTGTCACATCTTTCACGTTTTATTAAAGGGGATGCTGGTGGTGAGCCCGAGTGTGCGTGTCCCTGCTCTGCTGCTCCTGCCCACCTGCCCACTGGCTGCTGTGTCTCTGGCTATCCCTTCCCCCTAGGTGGGTCCCCCAAGAATTCCCACCAAGAGGTTTGAGAGGGCTAGGCCTACAGGGGCCCTTCCTGGTTTCTTGGAGTTGTGCTTTCTTTCCTAAGGCCTCCCCTTTACCTTTACTTCTTAGCTTGCCCAGGGGCTTCAGTGGGAACCCTCGAGGTTCCTTGGGGACTTGGCCAGGGGTCCCAGCCCACCCATACTCCATGCTGCTCCTCATAGGCTTGTTATCCCAGCCAGGGCGCCAGATCCCCAGCTCCCTGACCTCCAGTGGTCTGCATGATTGGGGAGTCCTAGGATGAGAGGATTGTAGGGGGGTGGGGCTGGCCCAGGGTAGGTGGAGGGAGCTAGGCAGTGGGCCCCCAGAAGGAGCCAACCTCCTGTGGGAGGGAACATCAGGGCTCATATCTAGGCAGGGCTTGCCAGTTCTGTTCCTTGAGCCCCTGCCTGTCCCAGCTCTGCACCCCTTGGCTTTGGCCATATCTGCATTGTTTGCCTCTTTGCCTTCCTCTCTTTTCCACCCCAGCACATTTGGGGTCTCAGCCCTCAATAAATGTGAAGTGCTGCTGCTGCCTCTGCTGTCTGGCCCATGCCTCTACCCTCCTGGCTCACCCAGGGCCCTTGCAGCCTCTAATCCAAAGCAGTGCCCAAGACTCAACCCCCACTGGGCCCCAACCAGACCTCAGCACTCAGGACAGTGGGAGCTGCAATGGCCAGCTTTATTTGGAAGTGGTTTGGGGTAAGACAGGACACCTGAGGGAACCGACAGAACTCTGTAGCCAGGCTGGAATAAGCTGCAAGCTTCTGAGACCCCTCAGAGCTGGGAGTGAGGTCCGGCAGGCCCAGGCGGGTCTGAGGGCAGAGCAGAGGTCAAAGGGAGTTAACTTGTGAAACTTCCTGGCCGGCGGCTCCCCCTCCCCCCTGCGTGGAGGGGAGGGGAGGGGAGGGTCAGCAGGTTATTAGAGGGCCTGGTTAGTGTCACACCACACCCGGCCAGGCCTTGCTTACCAGTCCTGGTCAGAATGGGCTGCGGGAGCCTCAGGCTGGAAGGCAGAGGACAGTGAGAGCCGCCCCAGGGCCATAGGAAAGGGACAGGGCTGACCTGGGGGATCCCATGGGGGACAGCAAGGGCACATACCCACAGGGAAGTAGTGGGGCAGCCGGTCTCGGTAAATGCCCTCGTCTTTCTCGAGGAACACGCAGATGATGAGCCGATCCACCTGTGCCAAGGAGTGCTCAGGCTCCTGCTGGCCCCTCAATCTTGCCTCCCAGCCCCAGCAGGTTCTCACCTGCCTGTGCCCTACTGGAATTTGAGAGTTCAACTGCCCTTCACAGATGGCTTCAGGCCCACCGCTCGCCCCCCTTCTCACCGCTGCCCCACAACAAGCGCCAGCTGGGAAGGCTGGCACCAACCCTGCCCGCCGACCTCGCGCTGCCCTCCGAGCGGCTCCCACCGCAGTGACCAACCGGGCCAGGAAACACCTTTCGCCCCATCCCAGGCCTCACCTTGTCCTTGTGCTGCTCCAGCCACTCCCGCAGCGCAGCCAGCACCACCTCTGCCGCCGCCTCATTGGGGTAGCCTGGCGGGTGGAGGGGAATCTAGGTCTGGCCTCGCTCCCGGGCCCGCCCGCTCCCCGCCTTTCTCTTCAGACCCCACTCACCAAACACGCCGGTGGAGATGCAAGGGAACGCCTGGGGCAAGGGCAGGTGGGAGAGAATGGGGTTTCGGTCACGGCGGCTGCCCCCCGCGGGCCGACCCCGACCCCACCCCGCCGCCTGCGGTCGCCTACCACCGAGCGGAGCCGGTGCTCCAGCAGCAAGTCTAGGCTGCTCAGGTAGCAGCTGCGGAGCTCGGCCGCCTGGCTGGCGCTGGGCTGCCCCACGGCGATGGGCCCCACCGTGTGGATGACGTCTGCGGGGACCCACCGTGGGCTCAGTGAGACTCGCCGTGGCCCCCGCGCCGGCTTCGGCTCGCGCGCTTTCGGGCCGGAGGGGCAGGAACAGCCTTCTTCCCCAAAGTCCAGAGACTCGGGGAGGACCCCACCCACCCTGGCGGCCACACGTGTGCCCCGGACCGTGGACCCGCGTGTGCACGCCACCGCATGCCACTGCTGGGTGGAGGAAGGAAGGCCCGCGCCTTTCTGCCTCCCGGGCGGTGACACAGGGTCAAGAAGCGCTGCGCCGCGCCCCGCCCCCGCCCGTGGGGTGCCGGGACTCACACTTGGCCGGCAGCCGGTAGCCACAGGTGATCTTGGCTTTGCCGGTCTCGCAGCTCTGCAGGGTCCGGCACTCGTCGGTGAGCAGGGGTCCTGCCGCCCGGTGAATGCAGCCGTCCACTGCGGGGGACGCGGGGCAGGAGTGACCGCCCGGACCTGGCCGAGAAGGCCGGTGCACGCCAGTCCACCCTGCAGCGCCGCACTGCGCGAACCCACCCGGCAGCGCACCCCTCGGTCGCTCCCATCGCCCCTAGTACCACGTCGTTCAGCGGGCCCGGGAGCGACGCAGCGCGGGGCGACCGGCAGGGGGCGCGCCCGGCCCTCCCTGCAGGTTCCCTGTGGCGCCGTGTCTGTCTGGGATGCGCCGGCTTAGTTAGTAGAAGTTAACTTCTACTCCGGCTGAGTCCGTCCCAAAGCCTAGTTCTTGGCAGGGCTGTGCCAAACTTGGCCGGTCTAACCCGAGGTGAAGAACCGAGGCCGCCTAGCTCGCAGGGGCAGATCCAAGCCCGGCCGAGCCCGGGTTCTCCAGCTCCTTCCCTGCCCTACTCGGGGTGTCCCTGGGCGCCCAAACCCCGGCGGAGTAACTAGCTGACTCTCAGCAGCGCATCCGGCTTAATTGAGGCCAGGCCGGGGCTTGTTTATCCAAGGGCTGCTCCAGGATCTCACTCGTGACCCTGGGGACCCAGGCCCAGATAAACAACTCTCCGGGTGTGCTGGGAGAGGTGCGCAATAGACGCTGCTACTGCTGTACTCGCCCAAGCACGATGCAGCCCTGCTCAAGCAGGCCCTGGGCAAGCCTGGTTCGCCCCTGACTGCTTCAGACTTTACTCTGCTTGACCAGTCTCATATGCAAATAGGAACAGCGACCGCCCCTGACCCTTCTCTGTCAGGGGTGATGGAACCCAGGCCTATTCAAAGAGCTCCACTACAACCTGGCTCCATTTTACAGATGCCCAAACCTTGACCCTTTCTCCTTTTTGGAATCCCTCCAACGTCTTGGCACAGGTCCAGGGTCACCAGCTGGACCCCATCCCCATCCCCTCTACTGTTTTCTCTTGGGCTCTACAGGGCCCAATTAAACGTAATTTTTCAACTTCCCTCAAGCCTAGCACCAGGTGATTTCCCAGAAGGCCTCGGGGTGGAGGTGGGTTGGGAGAGAAGTTGGGAGAACCTGGAGTCCTCAGGACTGAGTCCTTTGCAGGGATGACCCAGTGCAAGGCCAGAGCTGAAAGTCCAAGCCATAAAGACACAGTCTGGAGTTCATGTGCAGACAATGTGTCTGTTCTGAGTGGGATGCCACAGAGGACCCAGCACAGTTCACAACACCAGGGGCTGAGGAGGTCGACAGGCTGAGTTCAAATCTCATCCAAGCTCAGCTTTGCCAGCTCTAGGTGTGTGACTCAGGGCACATCACTCTACCTCTCTGAATCTAGTAGCAGTACCTACTCACCGGATGTTGAAAGAGTTGTTTATTATTATTATTTTGTGGTGCTGGGGATGGAACCCAGGACACATGATCCACTGTTGAACTATACCCCAGCATTAAGTTAATTATTTTTTCTTTTTCCTCTTCTTTTTTCCCTTTTCTTTGTTTTTTAATTTTTTTCATTTATTTTTTATTTTTATTTTATGTGTATGAGTATATTGCCTACATGTGTGTGACTGCACCCGTGTTGGGCAATGCCCATGGAGATTAGAAGAAGGCATTGAATCCCCTGGACCTGGAACTGAAGTTACAGACGGTTCTTAGCCATCATGTGAGAACTGGGATTGGAACCTAGGTCCTTTGCAAAGGCAGCCAATGCTCTTAATGGTTGAGCCATCTCTCTAGCCCCAATTTTAAAATTTATTTTTACTTTATTTGTTTGAGTGTCATGCAATGCCCACATAGCTTTGGATCCCCTGGAACTGAAGTTACAGTTGTTAGGCACCATGTGGGTGCTGGGAACTGACTGAACCTGAGTCCTCTGCAAGAGCAGCCAGTGCTCTTAACCACTAAACTATCTCTCCAACCCCCATATTTTGCTTTTTTGAGACAGTCTCATGTAGCCTAGGCTAGCCTCAAATATGCTATGGAGTCGAGGATGACCTCAAACTCCTGATCTTCCTGCCTCCACCTCCTGAGTGCTGGGATTACAGGGGCGTACCACTGTGCCAGGCATGCTTGACACGATCAGACACGGAGTGATTTGGGCCTTATGACAGTGTGACAGTGTGGCAGGTTCAGGGTTTGTGTGCATGGGGGCCCACAGAGTGTGGGGTGAGCATGGGGATCTGTGGAGACGGCGCTCCTGGGTGCCTGGCAGTCTCAACCTTCTGGCACTCTGCCACCTCCCACTCCACATGACACACCCTGCAGGTGACCTTGGCTGGCGGTAGAGCTGTGTGGAAGTGCAAATGGGGAGATCTGTGCTTCAGAGACTAGTGGTTTCCTACTGACGTGCACAGGTCTTTCTGACTGACCCAGGGGAATGAGGGAGTGGAAACCCGGCACAGGAGACCCCTATCAGCTTTCAGAGTAGCACTAGGACCATATGACTAGGGAGGGGTTCCCCCAAAGCAAAGATGAGGGACAGGCTCTGACCACCATCTCCATGCTACCTTCCCTCAAACAGGCTGGCCCTGGCATCCAGGCCTCAGCTGCCAGCCCCTCCTGCCTACCCGGCCCTCCCACTCATACACCAGCCTTCCTTGATGTCCTACCCTGAGTGCAGAGGAGAACTCCAGCCTTCATTTTGTCTTCTCCCCAACCCCCTTCCCCTCCCCTGATACAGGGTTTTCTCCCTGTAGCCCAGGCTGCCCTCTCTCTAGCCCAGGCTGTCTCTGCCTCCTGTGCCACCATTCCTGCTGTCAGTCTGTCTATCAGTCACCAAAAAACAAAAGGCTCATGCCTATGACCCCAGCACTCAGGAGGTAGAGGCAGGAAGAGCAGGAGGTCACCATCCTCAGCTATGTAGCAAGTTTGAAGCCAGCTTGGCGAGCTTGGGGCTGAGCTCTATTTAAACACACAGGCACACACACCAAAACAAAACACTTTAAGCCCTCCAGTTTAGCCCCTACAGAAAGCCTGCTTCCCTCATCCCATCCACCTCCCTCCTGTCTACAAGGTCCAGGCTGAGCATTCTTCCACTATGGCTAGCAGCCAGTCTGCCTCCCTTTCTCCCTCATTGGACCTTCTTGCAACAGATACCTTGGGGTGCTGGGCCAGCCCCACAGATCATCTTGTCGGAGTCTCACAGCCCCCAGAAGGTGATGCCATTTTCTCTGCCTTATAGAAGAGACTTAGGCACAGAGAAATGACTCAACTGTGATCACAAGGGGGCTGCCTTCCCTCTCCTGGGGAATTTTCTTCCCTAGAGGGACTAGTGTTTGCCTGTGTCCTCCAAACCCTTCAGAAAGGCATGTCTGCCACCATCTATCTCTCTGCCTCTGCCTCTCCTTACAGCCACCCCTGCACCTGACACTTACACCTCCTGAATCCATACCTCCCCCAACAGAGTGCCTGCTTTGGGGCTCTCCTCATGGTTGCACATTCCTGCCAGCCACCAGGGCTCTCTCTGGAGATCCTGGATGTTTCTTCTCATCACCCTGAATCTTTCTGTCCCTAGGCTATTCCTCTGAAGTTGCTTCCCTCTGGGGACCCCAGCTTGCCTCCCTAAGCCCTCCTAGATCTCTCTGGACTGTCCCTCTGCCCTGGTTATTCCCCCCTAAAGCCTTTGAGACACTGAGATGGCCGAGATACCCTCCAGTGACAGTAAAGGCAGACCGCTTACCCCTGCACTCAACTTGGGACCTTCAGTTCACACCCTTGCCCCTTCCCAGCACCATTCAACCCAGCAAGGATGGGGTGTGGTGCTGGCTGGAGCCTTGGCATGCCTGGGGCTCAGGGCTGGAGCTTGACCCTCTGCAAGACCAGCCAAGGTAGAAGGCAGGCAGGCTCCAGTGGGGACCACCCTGCAAGTCGCTGAGGACTGTTGGCTGCTATTTAGGGTGCTGTAATATTCATGAAAGGGAGATTAGATATTTAAATTTATTCAGCAATAAATGCAGCTCAGTGGGGGAGCATTCCTCATGCTAAACAAACAAGCGAGCAGGGGCTAATTAATTATTTACAGGAACAAGAGGAGCCAGTGGCCTGGGGGACATGGAGGGCGGCTGTGCCCCTGCCAAGGGGTCAGATACCTCTATTCCCCTCTGCCACTCTGTGAGGCTGGTCCTCTTATAACCCCCTTCTGGGATTTCTGTTTAGAAATTCCGGTCAAAGATTGCTGGTAGCTTTGGGCTGGTTACTCAACCTCTCTGAGTCTCAGCGCCAACGTCTCCAAAGACTTGTAGGGAATACTGACTTGGGATGGGAGGTAGCCAGCAGGTGGGCGACTGAAAGCCAGAGGGTTCAACAGCTTTCTAGGAAGGAAGTGGAACAGAAACCAAAAATCTATGACTAACCCTGTTTCACAAGAAGTAGAGACAAAGGTCCAGAGAGGCACAGTCACTTTCTCAGAGGCACAGAGCTAGGGGTCTTTCTGGGCTCCTGTGGGGATCCCCATTAGAACAGAGCAAAGAGGAGCCTGGAATGGGGGTCCAATTACCAGTGACAGTAGACCCAACCTGGGGGATACAGGGGAGGAGCTTTCCAGATCCAAGTCCCTCTTATTTCCATTCTGTCTCTGGGGCACAGTCTTCTCTTTGTGCCTCAGTTTCCCCTCCTGGGCAGCCTCCCCCTCCTTGCTTGGCATGTGCATTCTGGAAGAGGCTGCACCTTTGTCACACTGCCAAGCTTCACAGGTGGGTAGCACAGGTTCAGCTATAGACTTCAAGGGCAGAGGGGCAGAATGCCTCGCCAAGCATTCAATAGCCTCCTTCAGGAGACAGGACCCTTGCCAGGTGATGTCCGGAGAGCCTGGAGAAGGGTTTTGAGCCAGGGCTCGTGGAGGGCTGGGGCCTTCTGTTCATCTGGACACCAAGCCCCCTTGGGCTCTGGCCTGGAGACAGATGCCATCAGCCAGACCTTGGTGCTGTGGACAGCTGTCAGCCAGACCCTAGACACTCCCACTTGCCCATTTCCTGCTCAAGAGGAAGATCCCACTGGGGAGATGGAGAAACTGAGTCCACAAGAGAAT